AAGAAAGCAGATGTATACTCTGCGAGCCTAATTGAAATGCACTAAAGGAGGCTAAAGATTAAAGTCTGTCAGGATAGACTGTATTCTTCTGTGGGTTTATTGTAACTGTGATTCAAACAAATTATGTCCTTTAGGTGCTGTAGTTTCAGCTCAAGTGTTTTAGAGAGACGCAATGCCAATTCTGTTCAGGAGGGAATGGCATGACATACACGCAAGCTGACCCTCACACAGAAACCCACCATTCTTAGTGGAATGTTTGGTCTTGTTGCTGTCTTATGCTTATTTAAAGGGTCTCTGTCTTCTATAACTCTTGAAAAATAGTTTGGCTTTATGTCCCATAGACTTTGGCCATGGTTACTTTTCCTTCACTTACAGTAAATGCTCTGTTTAGGTGCATGGCTAATAAGTGGTTTTGTTTTGTTTTGTGTCTTCACTACAGAAAGACCTCACTGTGTGTCTTTTCAGAAAGAAGTTGAAATCTTGAAAAAAAACTTTTTTCACTTTGAGGAGGGTGGTGCTCTTTTACAACAAGCCTTATCAGAAATTGTATGTATTTACACCAAGACATACTTTTTAAAGAGTTAGGAAAATTGACAAACAGTTGACAAAAGACCCTGTTTCCACTGCTTTTCTTAAGATTCTTGTCATGTCAGAGCTTTACTGTTTTTCCTCTCATAAAGCAGCTGCAAGACAGAATTTCAAATTTATTTTAACTGTCTTAAAGTGCAACTCTCAGCAATGTGAGAAAGACGTATCCCAGTTTCTTGCAGGTCACATTGAAAAACAGTTCAGCACTTTTGAAAGAGAGTGAATCCAGAGCTCTGTACTCAAGTAATCTAATTACAGCCAGCCAGCAGATGCACACTCCTTGGCCATATTCATCCACCATCCTCCCCCACAGCAACACTGGCACTTGTTTGACCCTGCTTGAGAGCTTGTTTAGCTTATTGAAGTGGCAGAAAAGCATGCATTTATTTATCTAACAGAAGGTTAGCTTTGTGTTGTGTTGGTGAACTGTGTTGGCAGGGAGTTGTAGTAAGGGAGAGGGAAGAAGACTGTGCTTTTTGACAGCTGGATGCTTTACTGGCTTTGCTGCACTAAGAAATGGCACCAGAAGGAGAGCTGAGACATGTTTCATTTGTGGGTCTGAACCCCCAGGACCCATGCATAGCAGGCTGAAAACCATTACACTACATCAGGGACCTAAAACTTTCTTGTGTCAAAGTCTAAATTTAGATGTGTGGTAATGCTTCTTTCTTCTTTCCTTATGTGTCAGTACTGGAAAAAAAAGTGATAGAATGTCATTGGCTGGTTTTGAGATCATTGTTACATGTGAGCTTCCTGACCATAAGTTTCTTGAGCAGAAACAGAATTTTCCTCCAGCGTAACCACCTTTAATGGCTACATTTGAAGTATTTATCTGGATGTATAATGGACTCCCATTTCAGAGAATGCAATTTTGCATTTTATGACATATTCTAGTGCTTTGATTTATAATTATTTTTTAGCCCTAGTTCAGTAAGAATTGCTTATGCTTACTTTTATCTGGTTGTACTGACTGTGTAAGCATATGTTAAAGCTGTGATTTTTTTTTTAAATATTAAGGTTTTAATTATGTATGTGTGCTTGCTTCTGTACCTCGCAAAATGAGAAAATCCTTGGAACCAGAGGAATGCATAGGTAACCTGAATGTGAAGAAGTAGTGGTAAAAGTTACCAGTCTTACCCATGCAAGACAAATCTTAAATAACAGAAATGCCCTGTCTATAACAAAAGAGCTCCCAGGATAAGCTGTCTGCAGTCATCAGTTGGAGCTGTCTTGCATGTCTTAAGGACTTTCTGGCCTACTCACACTTAAATAACATGCTTTTCTTCACAGCAAGGTCTCAGCTCTTGATTTAACCGTGGAGACTTTTGGTTTGGGAAAAGGGTCAATTTTCTTTACTTCTGTTGTCAAATGTGAAAAGTTTTTCCACGTGCCTTTTGTTGAGCTTGCAATAGGCATGCGGCAATTGATGAAATGTTTATTACTTTTTGCTCTGTCTTAAGTGCTTTCAGGACGTGGTTAAACATGCTTAACTCTGAAAGTGAACGCTAGGTGGTACCCTTTTATAACTGCAGTTGCACTTGATACTTCAGCAGACTGTGCTGGAGCTGAACTGGTCATTCCAGCAATTTTTTACAAGGGACATAAGCCATGGTCATATCCTTTTAATTAATTTAATTTAATTTCTAATTCTATTTCTTATTCTGACAAGCTGTTTGTGGTTCCATAAAGCAGGCAAGAGTTTGATTAGCACTACTAAGATTGCATAAAATAAGAAGTACAAGTACTTTGCAATAAAACAGTAAAACTGACTTCACAGAAGGTGAGGTGATGTGCATAAACTGAAAGACAGTGGATTTTCCGTAATTCCCCCTTGGTTTCCGTTTGGTTTTGAACTTGTATGTTCATAGGAAGCTGAAAAAAAAGTTTGAGACATGGCGTCAGTGTGCCAGAGTCATCTGGTTAGAAATGAGCTGTTTTCACTTCCCCTTTGAACACTTCCTTTATCAGCTCAGCATTCTATTTTTTAATTCAAGAATTGTAACTGGAAAATGTGCAATTCACTTGTAATGTTGAAGGTCTGGGAAGCATCTATTACATGTACCTTAATGACAAAGTTTTCTTGTTTGGAGGAGGGCATAGAATTCCCTTTGAAGATTATGCAGTAGTAAGGGCATTGAAGAGCCGTGCTGTTACTCTGTTTCTTCTAGGAGCTGATGCATAAATTCTAGTATGGGAGATCAGAAGTCACTGACATAAAGAGTCAAAACATATTTTAAATCAATGATAGCAATACAGTTAAAAATCCAGAATTTTAGAATTACCAAGGCTGGTTTTCAGTTGGTACCAATTTAGTAGTACAAGAAAGGTTTTTAAATAATTACAGGACAATTGAACAGCTAAAGGGAATAATAGATCCTAATTTCATTCATGTACTTTATTTTTAATCTCTCATTTTCATAGTAGTTGTCAAGTCAGAAACCAATCAAAGGAACCCACTAACAGCACACTGCGCTTGGGTTTCATACCACCATTCCTTACCTTGATAATGAATTATAAGCTGTGGTCTAAAAGGCCGATGATGGGGATCAGTGTTTCTGGGATGAATCCTTCCTTCTAGCAAGTAGCAGCTGAGTTCTGTTTGACTTCAGAGCTGTCCTGTAGCATGTTTTCATTTGCAGCAGGCCAGAACACCTGTGTGCTCATAGGCTTGCAACTGTTTTCTGGATGAAGGGTTTCCACATTAGTGCCATTTCGAAGTGAATTTTGTAGTTTAATTAAGACACAGATTCATTTTTACTCATAATGGGCCAAGTGAATACTGATTTTTCCATAATGTCACCTAGGAAATCTGGTATTTAAGAAGTAGGAATTCTAGTTCTCCTCTCAGTGATTCATTCACATTGTGTAGTTTTTCAAATTGTGATGCTTTTGGGGCAGCATCTTTCAGGACCTTAGATTGGTCCTTAAGACTAATATTGATTGTGCTTTCAAGAACCTGTTGCAACACGAAATGCAAGTCTGACTCCAGGAGCTAACAGACAAGTGCTCTCTGCTGAGAAGACTTAGATTATGCATTTTTTGGCTACAAATACAGATACTCTTTCTGTTTTCCCTTTGTGGAATAGCATACCAGTTTTTAGTGCAGGCTGAAATAACCTTCATTACACCTGTAGAATCATTAAAAAGTACTTTTGATTGAAAGGTAGAAGAAATTGAGGTGTTTTTTTTCTGTTAAATAATAATTCGCTCCATGTAAATCAGATCCGAGGGCTTGCCTAGTAAAGAAACTTGCATACTTTAACCTTGTTGAGGTACTTAGACTAATAAAAGCTGCTAGTTTAAATGTTGCATATGTGCAGAATGCATTTAAAATTAGAAGCTAATGTGCTGATAAACAGCACCAGAACTGGTAGACCAGATTGCATAGTGATGTTTTTTAGGACTTTCAGCTTTATAACCATTCTTGTTTGGTTAGTCTGGTGCAATTTTCCCCTTATCTCTGTGAAGATTTTTAGATTAAAGGCTGAAGAGCTGGAAAAAAAGAAAAGAGGGGGAGAGAGTTTAAGAACAGCCAAGTGCTGTTGAACTACGGCACTCATTAGGCTTTTACTTTCAGAGGCTGAGGAGTAAAGTAATTGAGTTTTTGCCATGCAGAAGCAAGTCTGAGCCCTGCAAACCTCTACTTAGCTCTAGACAGTGTAAGGTGCACACTTCTGTATGCTGCATGCGCGAGTACTGTGACACATTTAAAACAAATTATACTGAACCACTAACAGAAATGTTTGATAGCTACAGTGTTCTTGTACCTGTGTATTGGGTGAGAGAAAAATGGCTCCAATTAAAAATCTGCCTTTCACATTGTTTTAACTATTTTACTCTGACAGTATTGAGTTAGATTGGTGCTAGCTTAAAACTGCAAACTGTTTGTCCTTGTACATGTTGCAAAGTATCTTAAAACAGTTCTGCTTGGGAACAGATGGTACTACCGGGCAGGAATCCAGAGAGGAAAAAAAAATCTGTTAACTCTGGGTACTTTTCCAGGGGAGCAATCCTGTTTTCAGTTGTGTTTGTTTTTTTTTTTTTTTTTTTTTTTTTTTTTTTTTTTTTTTTTTTTTTTTTTTTTTTTTTTTTTTTTTTTTCTTTGTGAGCATGGAAGATCTGTGCTGATATGAACACTATATTTCCACCAAATAAAAAAAAAAATCTGTTGCTTTGTCATTACAGCAGGATCAAGTTTTCTTGTGGTTTCCTTTGGTTTGGGTTTTTTTTTTTATTATTCAGAGTGATAACAAACCAAGGTTGGGAACATACTGAGAGACATGCAAACTTTAGTAATAGTGTGGATAATGTTGAACTAACAGGTCTTGATTTTGAATAGAGAATTATAGTTTATAATGAGTGTTTCAGCAAAGCAAGTTAGTTGAGTCTTTATTTTTTTTTATCTTTTCCAGGGTCAAACTTGAATCGCTGTGGGTTCAGAGGCTCTTCGTATTTAGGGATGCCATTCAATCCCTCCAAGGTCAGTTAAGTGTGTGTGTGTGAGTGAGAGAGAAATACTTTCAGTTAGGCAATAAATCATATTGTGTCTTTTTTATAATATTAACTGCATAATTATGGAATATGTGGAAGGCAGGGATTTTTGCACTGTTAGTAAACTGAAATGTTTGCAGAGCTTTTAAGAAACCTGTGTAAGAAACATACTAAAATGGTACCTCTCAAGTCTCCAGGGCAGTGAAGAAATTAACATACAAATTGTGGGTTGCCTCAGTGCACTCCTCCCCTTCATTGGTCTGTTACTGAAGCAGGGAAACTTTGCTAATTCAAAACTATCACCTAGCGGGAGAGGACAGAATAATTCTGTATTAAGTGGTGCAGCACATGCGGTTCTTTGGTATTCTTCTTACTGTGATGACACAGGGCTATTTGATTGTACCTGGTATCCACTCAAACATAGGCAAAGCTCTGTTTGTCCCAGTTTGTTGTGACCATAAGAGAGGATGCTTTGAAGCCTGTGGAACTGTGGTTCAAGAGACTTAAATCTGTATATGGAAAGAAAATGCCTTTAATACAAGAGAGAAAGTAGGTTGGCAGACGCTGCTAAAGATGGTACCAAAGGCCTGATACAGTTGGAAGAGGGGAAGTAGAGGCCAGTGCGCAGGAAGGACTGTGAAAGAGGTACAGTAGTTCTGTCCTGTGTTGGAGAGTGAAGAGTCAAATCTCACTAAAGGGTGGATGAAAAGTCTGGAAGAGCACTATATTACCACCAAGTATTTAATTTTTTTTTTTCCCAGTGGACAGACAGCAAGATTTTAAATATGAATGTTGGGATCTGAAATTGAAAGCAAGGATGGTCATCTGATACAGTAATGACTGTAGCTGAGCGTAAAACTTCTTGAACTAGCTTGAGTGTGAAGGTAGTACAGCAGCCTGGTTTGGCCTTATTTTTATTTACTCTTAACAGCATAACTTTATGTTTCTGAATAACTTGTGGGAATGGAGTAATAACTGTGTATGCCTCTTTGCACAGCAAATCAGTCAAGTACTCGTAGCAGCAGTATTCAGAGGTTGCACTTTCTAACAAGGGTAAAATAATTGTGAAAAGGTTTTTTTATATCTCTACACCGGGGGCTACAGCAGCATGTAACAGGCAAGGTAATTTGTCTCTTGGTTTGCTTTGGTATTTGTCCTGTTTTACACTACAGATGGTGTCTGTGGTGAGCTCGGACTGTAGTAACAGGATGAATTCATCATCTGTTTTACTTGGAATTAACCTCAATGGCAATCCAACCACCTGCTGAGCTTGAAGGAAAAAAGGAAAACTTCTGCTTAAAACCTAAAACAGTTTGGGTTCTATAGTGGTGACTTACTGGGATACTTTGTTAAAAATGAAGTTTAAAGACAATATTAGACAACAATTTCAGAATAGAGTTGTATTAAGAAGAAAACTGGTTTTACTCAGAAGGAAGATGGCTGTCTTTGATAACAGTCGCCTAAAGAAGTTGAGGTTGTCATGCTAGTATTGTGGCATAACAGCATTATAAAGTGAATAACAGTTTTACCAAACAGAGATAATAAAAATGTATCAGTCATATTTCCTCAAAGATTTGGGTCAGTGCCATGTGGTGTACTACATTAAATCAGTGCATGCTTTTGGGAACCTTTTCAAATCCTCCCCTGTGTGTAAGCCTTCACGAGTGAGTTCTGGATATTGTTCTGAGATCTTGTAAATGCCCCAGAAGAAAAAAAAGTCCATAAAATCAGCAAAGCATCATTATCCCTTCACAGCATTTTCTGGTGCTTTAATTTAACTCTCAACTTTCAATAGCACATGCTTCATACTTAAATATTCTCTTTTCAGGAAATGTGTTGTGGCTCGTCATGTAATATGTTAACCAATCTGCAGAAGGGACAAAAGGGCAAAATCATGTAACCTGTGGAAATTAACTACAAGGTCATTATCTCTAGAAAACTGTTTGCAGATGGATGTGCTTTTTATTCAAGCATTGCAATACTTTTTTCATTGCATCTGTATTAGAGGGATCAGATCTGCTTGATTTATTGGCATACAAAGGTTTAAAGTATTTCCAGCACTGTTGCCCTAAAATGTTCTGAAATAACTAAGAAAGACTTGGAAAACCATTGCGATGACTTTGAATTATGTTTAAGGTCTTGTAATTTTTCTTTATTCATCGTTTTAAAATGTTCTATTAAATCTATGTCTTGAAAAATTATTTTTTTAAAAAGCCTGTAAGCATTTTGGATTTGCATTGACAGTTACTATTTATTACATGCCACTGCAGTGATTTCATTCTTGAACTCTGAGAAAATGCCATACTGGAGGTAGCCAAACCTCTTCTGTCACTGGGGACCCTTCAAAATAACAGAAAAAAGCAAGGGATATGTTCAAATTTCCAACTTTACTAAATGTTACCAGGATAGCTCATTTGGTTTTGTTTTGGGGTTTTGTTTTGGGTTTTTTTTTGCTGTTACCCTGTCAGTGTTTGATGGTAGTGTCTACGCAGCTCTTGGGGACTTTAGCAAAAGTGAAGCAAAACCATATCTGCTTGACTAACTCATCACAAACAGCTTTTACAAGCCCTAGCAGTCTTAACTCTAAATGAAGGCTAAGAGTGCAGCTTCTATCACTGCAATTAAACATGAATCATGTAAAATCAGATAACAGTTATTTTCTGAAATGGCTCCAGGTTCTGCAGTCTCTCTGATTTGGTGTTACTGGAATTGAAGCGAGCTTTTTAATTTAGGGGTGAACAGTCACCACAGAGTTTCAGATAGGCCTAGGTCTTTTTAATCTCTTTAAAGTGTTACAAGTCAGTTTTAGGGGCTATATTGAAAGCCAACACCTGGAACTTTTATGTAAGATTGCGGTAAATAACATATGCTTCCACTTGGAGGGAAAAAGATCTGGTTTGTGTTCCCGACACAACATTGCATTTTCTCAAGGTTGAAACAATCCATATTTGTTTCACCGATGCCAAGTGTGAGAATAAAGTTTTTTAAAAGTCAGACTCTGCCTGTGTAAGAGTATGTTTAGTGGCATTCTTCATTAGTGTTGGAGAGATCTTGCCCAAGTTTTTGCAGCAGAGAAAGTTTCTTAGTCCCCTCTGCACTGGTCAGCAGGCATTGTTGGTAACCATGAGTTATGTTTAAATAGCTGTTCTGGATAATGTGGTAGGGAATGTTATCACATCACTGATTTAAATGCTTGAAAGCTTCCCCTCACCTTGCATCTTTAAATGTTCATACTTTTAAGGAAGGCTCAGATTGTGGAGATTGTCGAGCAAAACTTATTCCATCACTGAGATCCGGGTTAATCTGTTTCTTGTGTGGCCTATCAACTGTCATTGTCACAAAAGATGAAGTGTATAGAGAGAACAGGACTGGGCCATATCCCCATTGTTGTCTTCTCAGAGTACGTCTGCACCAGTGCATTAGTTCAGCTCAGCAGAGAGTACTTTGTAAGAGCAATTTAATGTGCTTGCTCCAAAAGAGCAAGGCACACAAGCTGGGCTCCTTTCAAATTAAACTGAACCAGAAGGCATGATGCTCTGAATGAAATTCTCCGTTAGTGGGCCATTAGTCCACAAAGCCAGGCTACAGCTGGCATGATAAAATGCAGATAGTGTGGGCACGTACTGCAGCACCTGCTCTGCCCTCCAGACCCACTCCTACTGCATTACTCCTCCATTTAGACGTAACATGTCTGGATTAAGCCTGTTTCTTCTGGTTGTTTAGTCTAAGTGTTTAACAATCCATCCACAGTTTAACAGCTTTCTTGTTGCTGTTTTTGAGATGTAACTTCTGCCATTCTTGAAATAACCTCATTCTGTTTATCTCTGTGGCCCTGGCTCATGAAGGTTGAGGTGGTGGCAGCAGCGGGTGTTTTTGTGCTTATGCTGACAGTTTACTTAGTCACTGTTGTTGCTGTGGTCTGCAGTGTCTATGAGGCAGAAGTAGTTATATTTCACTAAAACCATGTTTTGTTCATAATATGGAACTTTAAAAAGGGCTTCTTTTTTACCAAGCCTCAAGATGCGAATTAAAAATCAGGTCCTTTGACTACAGTGCTGCTGATTAATTTGGGCCAAATTTCTACACAATGTCTGAATTACTTTGTCCTTCATAGCAGAGGCAGTCTTGCTCTTGCCATGCAGATTTTAAAGGTGTTAGCAATTATCTCATGAAAACTTTGAGACTTGCTGTAATCTTTTGCATGTGGAGAAGCCATTCCAATCCTACTTTGTGATATCAAATTGTCACAGGGCCAGTTTCTACAGGTTTTAAGAATTCTCAATTCTAAGCAAAAAAGTATTGTTTTCTTGGGTGTGTTTGGGTGGTTGGGTTGGTTTTTTTTTTTCTTTTTTGTCTGAAATATCCAATTATTCTGATTGATGTCCCCTGGAATACATCCTGCTACCTGGGCTCAGGTGTTCTGTTGCATTACTGTGTGAAGTATATATTGGTGTGTGTAAGCACAACATAAAATTTGATAATGAACTTGAAATAATGACATGGAACCTAGAAGAAGAAGTGAATTCCAATACAGTTAAGATTTGAACAATTATTGTTAGCATACAGAATATATTATTCTTCTGGTGAATAAGTATATCTGTTTTATTTATTTTTTTAAAAAGCACATGTGGTGAACAAAGATCTGTTACACTCTCAAAAGCTTCCACAGTCCTACAGTAATTACGCACATGAAACATCATATTGGCCTCTGTGAGTATGCCTTGCAGTAATTCCTGTATGATCTCATATTTGATGCTAATGCTTATGTGTTTAATTTGATTTTATTGAAATATTGGCCATATTTGTTTGGATTTTTGGCCCTAAACCAAGTATTTTCAAGGCATTGGCTGCATATGAACATGTTGGACCCTCTGTCACTTCCACTGTCTTTTTTAGTAATTACACATGAAGATGTGTATGCCAACTTACTGTATAAAGAATTTAATTACTTGCCAGATAATAATCCTGTGATAAGAGAAAAGTATTAGTAGTAAAGGCAATTGTGTGACCTACGAGCAGCTGTTCTTGAATGCTGAGACCATCTCCCTGATTCCCCATATAATGGTGTTTCAAAATCGTGTATCCTGACAGTCTTTTCTGCATTCCTTGTACCTAAATATTTGCTTGGTGTTTGAGGACAGAAGCAGATGGCAGTACTAATTGAGTTGTGAACTTCATGATTCCATATACAGGCAGCGGACGCTACTGTTTGCTTTATGCAAGTATAGTTTGTGTTCTTTATTAAAACTACCAGACTTGCAAAATTTTATACAGCTCTGGTGTTGCTGAGGCCCTGTATTTGGAAAAGCAGTGTGCTACTGCTACATGTTGAAATGTTTGCATAGAAAAGGAAGTACAGATTGAATTTGTACGTTGTCCAGATACTGTAGTGGCTGATACAATTTGTTTGGGGAGGATGGTATTACTTCGTTTCATGAGCATACCATATATGCCTGTTCTTACTGTAGTGAGTTATAGTGTAATGGCAATACTGTAATGTGGAATTAACTAAAAAATAAGGGCCCAGTTACTTAAACATGTTTGCAGGCTACCAAAACTTTACAGGAAATACAGAATTAGCATGTGTATAGAAATTACAGTTTAAAAAAAAATCTTGTGAAGAGGGAATTTTCAGTTACTTTACATAGACACTGTGTGGAAAAATTGTCACTTGAAGAAGAATGTTGTTCAAGAACGATAGTTGCCTTAGACAATTTCCTGAGTATCCAAACACGTTGCTAATAGAACATTTGGGTAGAGTTTTCATAAATATGGTTTTAAAAAGCAAGTCTGAATATCCTTAGAGAAAGCCTTCCTTGCTTAGTGAATGTAGTCTTCCTCTGGAAAGAGCACTTTCAAATGTAAAGTTGAACACCTTCACTATATCTGTTACTGTTCAGTTATTCTTGGTGTCACTATTGATTTGGAGATGAACTACCTGTAAAAGCATCTAAATGGCTGTGTTGAACAGTTAAAATTGAATTCACAGGCTCTGGTGTTTTCGGTGATTTGTGGAAATGAGTAGAGGCATCTTCTGTGCTTTCCCTGTTCTAGGTTATTCGGAGTGGGAAGAAATTTAAGTGCTCCTCTCGTTCCAGTTTAACTTGGATGACATAGATGTTTGGAAACTTAGTTTTCTTCGTAGTTGCTGATTGCAACTCTTGGGACATTTTGTAACCAGTTTGTCCTAATATCCGAGAACCTTTCCATGTATTTCTCATTGAATAGTGTGTGTCTGGTATTTTGTTTGACAAAATATGTGAGAAGCTTTAGCTACAGAGCTGGGACACTGAGAATCCTTTTAGGGCAAGAACGGGTTCAAATCTGGCTTTTTCGAATAGAGACTTGCTTTGCTTAAAAGTAAATTAACCAATTACATTAAACTGAATACTTCTCTGTGTTATGGCAATTTGTATCACCCTATGTGTCTGGATTTTTTGGAGCAGAATTTTACGTTTGAAATACACAAGGGTTAACCTCCTTATAACAAAATTTTTAAGGGGAAGATAGTCTGAAAAGAAGATTTTTGGTTCTGTTAGATTTGAAATCCCTAAAATTGGTGTGGTAGGCCAAGTTGTTCCTTCTGGGATTAGAGCCTGTCATCTACTCAAGTTAGAAAAACATGTTTCATGACTGCAGTAGCTTTTTCTAAGCTGTTGGAGGGCACAGCTGTCCTCCATCTGTGGGGTGCCCCAGGGGGAAGTCGGTCTGGGGCCGGTGCATCGCTCCTACAAGGAAAAGCTGAGAGAGCTGGGACTGTTCAGCCTGGAGAAGGCTCAGGGGGTCTCATCAGTGTACATACATACCTGCAGGGAGCGTGCAGAGGGGACGGAGCCAGGCTCTTCTCAGTGGTGCCCAGTGCCAGGACCAGAGACAATGGGCACAGACTGAGGCACAGGAGGTGCCCTCTGAACATCAGGTAACACTTTTCTCACTGTGAGGGTGACCAAGCACTGGCACAGGTTGCCCAAGGAGGTGGTGGAGTCTCCATCCTTGGAGGTGTTCAAAAGCTGTCTGGACATGCTCCTGGGCACGCAGCTCTAGGTGGCCCCATTTGAGCTTGAGCAGGGGGTTGGACCAGATGGCCTCCAGAGGTCCCTGCCAGCCTCCACCACTCAGTGGTTGTGTGCATGTGACTGGGGGATCTGCAAGACAGAAGGAGGCAGTGATGGGGGCACTGGCAGCTGAGGGGTAGGAGTGGGGGCTGTTGAGATTTGTGCCCCCTTCTCAACAGAGAGTACAGGGCTGGAAATGAGGGAGAGGAAGTGCAGCTATCAGCACTCACTCCCTTTTCCCCTTCCCTGTTGCGTAGCTAGAGCTTTTTCAGTGCTGCTGCAGCCACTTTCACCTTGTTTTCTGCCTCCCTTTCCCAACTGTGTTTGATTCCCTAGTGTGGGATCAGTCCCTTGCTGTCTAGTGGGTAATAAGTATTTTCCTCCAACTTTCTTACTAGAAGCAAAGCTTTTTGGCTTTGGAAATCAGTGTGACTTGCCTGAAAAATACCAGTTACTCATAACATAACCATAAATTTGTTTTTATATGGCTTTTTGCATGGGTTTTTAGGATGAATTGCAAAATAAAAATGGCAACTGACTAGGCAATAATGCTAGTAAAATGTGATTTTAAAACTCGCTTGTCTCAACTACTCAGTATTGAAATAGCTCTTAACCCTGTTTAAAATAGTTGTCTCCCATTTGCTCCAAACTGAACCATCTCAAGTATCCAAAGTCATCTTGTTACATGTGGTTTCCGTTTTCATGAAGTGGTGCAGTCCAGGATATGCCTATAAAATATCAGAAGGCAAAATAGTAACTTTAGCACAGCTGTATCAATCCCCCGCCCATTATTGCGATCTTTATGGTGGGACTACTCAGAATTTAACTCTCACTTTAGCTTCTCAGTTGACATTATTTGCTATGTAAATACTTTGTTTAAGCTCTGATTATTGTTTTAGAATAGAGGTGAAAGTGGATGAGAGGTTTTGGTATTGCTTCAATTGACAGATTACTAATAATCCCTCACACTGCTTTCTACTTGTAGATCATTAGATTGTAAAATCTTTGTTGAAGGGACCTCCAGAGGTTTGGCTGTTTAACAGTGCTTACCCAGCTGCCAGGAAGTTAATGCCCAGTGGTGTGTCAGGATAAACTTAGGTACAGTTGAGCACATCCCATCTTTTTGCTTAACTCTTGCATAAACATCACTCTTGGCAAAACTTTTTTCCAAAGCTTCCTCTACTGACCAACTGTTTACAAGGGTAGCAGAGCTGCACAGTAGCTTAGTTTGATTAGAAAAGCTGAGTGGGATGCCTTCAGTTTAACCAAAATGAGTGAAGGGAAAAGAACTTTGTTTACATCTTATTTTTTTAAAAAAAACAAATGCTGGGCTGTAATACAACACCTTATGATGTTTCAATATTTTTATTTTTTCCCCCTTTTTTCTAGGGTCCAGGTATATCTCATCCCTACGATAGCGGGCACATAGCAATGACTTACACAGGTCTGTCATGTCTGGTTATTCTTGGAGATGACTTAAGTCGAGTAAATAAAGATGCCGTACTGGCAGGACTGAGAGCTCTCCAGCTAGAGGATGGAAGGTAAAAGATATTTTATGTTCTGCAACTTTCTGGAAGGTTAACAGGAAACACAGATGTGGAATGAAACATAAAAACTATGTTTTTTATGAAAGTAGCTGTATAATCTTTCTGTTAGAAAAAACTTTGGTGGGTAATCAGTATCGGTCGTAAAACACGTGGCAGTTTACAGGACCAAACAGCACTTTGTGTATAGATTTGCTTTTGCATTGGAGAATGACAGTATTTGCTTACAACTGTAGATACTTATTACTGGAAAGTTAATGGATTGGTTTATGGCTTGATGATAGTAGTTTTTCTGCTCTGTCTTTCACATAAGTGATGTTTTCTGCATTTATATTCTCTGGTTTTTGCAGGGCCCTGGAACACTACTATGATGATGTTTGCCCTGCTTTGAGGGAGGGTGGGCTTTATTTAGTCTTGAGAGATTCAAGATATCAATATGCAGGGTGAATTAGCCTATATATTACTTGTAATAGAAATCTAATATTACTAAACTTCATTGTGAGAGCTGTCCTTTTTGCATGCATTTTTTAATAGATGGCATATACTTGATCTACTTCTGTTGGTGGGGTTTTTGTTTTTTTTTTAATCCAGGCTGAAGCTGGTAGCTAATGAAAACTTCTGGTAGTGCACGTGATCTGTCTATGTTGTTAAATTTTACTGAATGTCATTTTTGAAAGAGTACTTTAAGAAATGCAGAACTATAGAAATGTTGTTCCTGAAGGAACTATCTTTCACTTCACAGTGAAATTGCTGTCACCCTCTGAGTTAAGAAAGTTTTTGTTAAGGTCAAATGGCTGTGTATCACCTAGACATCTCCAGTAATTAAAAGGGTTTTTTTGTAGCACAACTTTAAAAAATGTAATGTTGCATGTGTTTTTAGAAACAAAAAACAAACACAAAACTCCAGAATGTTCAGAATCTAAGTGGTGAATATGAACTAATGATACACAGTTTTCTGTTGTTTATAACAGCAGACTGACCTTGATGGGTCAAGTCCTAATGTATGTATACAGACAGATATACATGTATTTGTTGATCTGCTATAGTTTGCAGATTCTTCCAGCTCGTGGAAGTGCCCATTCCATTGCTCCAAGGATTCCTATTGTATGTTGGGCTATTTTTGTTTTTAAAGTATATCCAAAAGGAGGGAGTTGCTCCCAAGTCAGCAGCATCTTGAAGTGGTTACTTGTCATCTTGCCTGATTACAGTAATAAGCTGCATGCAGTTAACCTCTTCTACATGTTTCTATCATGTGTGGTTTTAATGTGCAGGCAGTATTTTATATTTATTCCCTGCTGCAGAGTGCCAGCTAGCCCCTATAGGGAAAGGACAGTGCTTTGCAGTAGTAAATAATTGTTGCTTTGGCAGCAGTCAATTTCTAGTGCAACAGACATTTTCATAGGTACGAAAACCACTCTTTCTGCCCCAAAGAGGGAAGATGTGTGAAGGCCAGAACCTGAGCTACCATCTTGTCCAGATGGAAACAGCAAGTGAACTCAGTGAGGGGAAAAAGACATTTTTCTGGTGTTACCCTAGTATAAGTATGCTAGTGTCAGTTAATAAGACAGGTGTGAAGAAACAGAAACTTAAAAGACTTTTTTTTTTATTATGTTGTCTCTTTTTACAGAATATGAATAAATGTGCATATTTTAATTTCTGCCTTACCTTAGCTGAAGGTGATTGGAAGTATCTGGATAACATACAATACAGTTGTCACCCGAGGATGGGGCGAGATTGTAAACCGCAGTGCTGGCACATGTTAAGAAGCGTCCTGGTTTCCCAGAATGTCCTGTGCCATATCCAGAGAGCGATGGAGTTCATCCCTGTTTGAGCTGCAGAGAGCAGGGCCTAGCACCCTTGGGGTTAGGAGAGATGAAAGTATCTGCCAGTAAATGTTGGAGGCTTTTCTACTCAAGAAGATAATGGGGTATATACTTGAATTGCAGGGTCAAAGAGGGAGTGTCATAGTGGTGATAGTCGTCCTTAAAAGACTGTCTTTGAAGTCAGAATTACTTTTTTTTTCTTTTTTTTTTTTTTTTTGAAGAGATTTGTCAGAACTCATCAAAATACTCTTTTTGTGCTGGCTTCTTGCAAATGGTTAGGTCATCAAAATATATTAAGTAGCTCTTTGAACTAAATGGAGGCTTGTCAGGCATCAAATCACAGCAAGCATCTTCATTTTAAGGGTCTCTGAGAGAGCACAGGATTGTACCTAGATAGCCCAGATTGTAAAGAAAAATTGGAAAGATTGTAGCCATAAGAAATGAAGAACTGGATTGCAGGTAATTTTCACCATTTGTATGAGAAATGATAGTAATAACAATTACATTTATACACACATGCGATTTTGAAGTTGCAGTCAGGAAAGAAGGCCTCGTGATCTACTAAGATGTCTAGGAAGGCAAAGAATTCTTCCTGAAGCAGTAAATGTTAAAATGGTAACTCGTACATCAGTATATACTGTGATAGGTGAAAGACTGTAAGCATTAATGTCTTTGAATAAATAAAGACCAGTGTAATTTCATTGCTGCAAGTAATGTCACCCAGGCCCCTAAATGTTAATAGTTCTATTCATTTTGCTTGGCGTAGTTAGAATCACATCTCCTAAAAAGAAAATCTGGGTTGTAGTTATGTGAATACTGTAAATAGAAGTAACTAATTTTTGAAGGAAAAATTATGCAATACCTTGAACTGCTTTTCATATTTTCTGATATAACAGGCTATACAGTGTATAATGACGGAAACATTTCTTTCAGTTTCTGTGCAGTACTGGAAGGAAGTGAGAATGATATGAGGTTTGTGTACTGTGCTTCCTGCATCTGCTACATGCTCGATAACTGGTCAGGCATGGATATGAAAAAAGCAATAGACTACATTAGAAGAAGTATGGTGAGTATTTGCAAAGTGTTATTTCTTACTACGTTTTAAAGCTAACTAGCTTTAGTTCTTAACTAGGACTAAAAATTTCTCTATCCAAATTGGAATATTATGGTAATTTGTTTCTTTTCTGTTCCTGCATTGGCGAGTCAAAATGAAAAACTACATTGTTTTTTTGCATTTGTGTTTTCATTGTAATGTGTATACTGGCAAGATAATTTTATTTGGTATGTTTGTTTATTGCAAATTGATTCTGACCTTTTTTCTTTAAAAATCCGTTCAAAATGGAAAGCAAGTTTTTGAAAACAGGGGCCTGGTGTTCATATAAGTTAGAAAAAGTACATAAATAAAGCACTGCATCAATAAAATTCTCGCATTTCAATGAGTTGTCCTGCTTTTTAAATTATATACAGAATCAAAGGAAAAACTAATTCTTGACATCAGTTCAAGCTTAATAAGTGCTTCCAGTCATGCACTTCATTATGTATTTATTAGCTATTTGGAATGAAGGAAAAATACTACTATATACACATTTTTTTTCTGTGTCTGTGTAAGCTATGTTGGTATGTAGTTGGAGCAAAAGAGTTTTCAGGTTTTTTTCATTATGTTTTCATTAGTTCAGTTGAGTTTAATTTTCCAAGATTAAAATAAATGTTTTTCGAAGAAGATGAGTAAGCTTGAAAACTGAAGTTCTGTGAATGTGAGTAAACATACATAGTAAACTCTTTCAGTCCACAAAAGAGCCAAATTTATGATGACATGCAACTGCTTGTAATGCAGTATGTTTTAGCAGTTGCTGCCAGCAGTGAGGTTGTAAAATTTAAGTGAGAAACAAGTCTAAACAAGATTCAGTCTCCTGCTTCAGATGAAATTGTTTTTTATTTCTTGTTTATTTTTTAAGGAGGGAGGGAGGTGCATAAGCATTTCTTACTGTACATCACAAGAAGCTTTCTGGCATACTCCATAGACTGGCTAGGAACCTACTTTTCTTCCTATGTTCTTTTTCAAAAAATGTAAATTTAATCTAATTCATACATTGTGCATTCATGACATTAGCCTGTGTACTGGAATTGAGAGTATGAACAAAACTTTATACTATTACACCTACATTGCTTTTAATGCCTTTTAATATGTTTCTACTCTACTTACTCCCTGCAACGCCCCTCAGCAGGACAGGGGAGACAATAGGAAGAGTAAAAGCAAGAAAAATCATGGACTGCGGTAAAGAGAGCTAGCTAAGTGAAGAGGGAAAAAACCAAGTGATGCAAACTCAATCACTCACCACCCCCCACAAGCAGACTGATGCCCAGCCACTCTGCAAGCATCAGCCACCTTGGAAGACACCTCCCTCTGCCCCACCCCTTCTTCTTCTGTTACCCCAGTTTTATTTCTGAGCATGAGGTTACAGCATATGGAATATCCCTTTGGTCAGTTGGGTTCAGATGTCCTGTCTGTGTCCCCTCCCAGCTTCTTCTCCACCCCCAGCCTGTTTGCTGATGGGTGGTGAAGTGGGAAGAATGAGAGAGCCTTGAAGTTGTGCTTGGTGCTGATAGTCCATCCAACAGCTGTCCCCTAGAGCCCATGTCTCCCCCACTTCTGGGAGGTCAGCCTATGAGCTGCTGAGGTTCATGGTCCCACTCCAGTTGCTGGTACTCAGACCTACCTGTCTTACCCACCAGCTGTTTGTACCTAAAGTTTGCTAGCATTCACATACGTACAGATACTCAGAATAGCTAGTGCCTGTCCAGAGGTGACAGTTAAAAATAGGATTCCGTAAGTCTTGGACCAATCGAGGTCATCAGCAGAGCTCAGTCGTACAAGCATACAGACTGGCAGCCTGTTCATGCTCTACTGGCACCTTTTATTCCCTTTTTCCCTCTCTTTTCCCTTGTTTGATCTTCCCCAGTCTGCTTTGATCTTTCCCTTTCTCCCCATTGCTCCTTTCCCATACCATCCCATAATAAGTTTTGTATGCCCCTGCATTCCCCAGAAAACACCCTGTGACAACCTTTATACAATCCCAGAATTTTCTTCTCCTGCATCCCATAAAAGCTCCTGTACCCCCGTAGCTAGTAGCCCACTTTATTGCAGGGTGAGAATATCTCCACTGAATCCGCTCAGTGGGTTTCATCCAGGGACAATGATTTATCCGTTCGCCTTTTGCAGTCTGAGGGAGCAGCTGAGTCAGGGTGCTCATTTTTCACTGATTAGGTCAGGAGGGTTCTTCCTTCTCTGATCCTTGCTGGACACTTGTGTTTACTGAGATTAGCCTTTAATCAGATAGCTTAGAAGAGATACGATAGGAGAATCAAATACTAAGAAAGAACAGGGAATAAAACCAAAGAGCACATTCCTCATTGTGTTGTTCTATACATCACATCAACTGGTAGTTGATATTTTGTACACTCAGTTTTGTACCCTTGAGTGTAATTTTGGTCCCAAAGGGTATGTTGTAACTGGGAAGGGTGCAAAGAAAGTTTAGCTGAATTGTCAGAGGTATGAACCAACTTGTGTAAAAGGAACATTTACTTGCTAAGACTCTTCATTCTGGAAATGAGATGATTAAGTGGAGTGTGACAAAGGTATGTAAAGTAATAAGTAGCACTAAAAAGATTAAGTGATCAGGGAGCAATTATTTCTTTCGAAGGCAAGAGCTAGAGAACATCATATGAGGCCACTGGTAGAGGAGGCAAGTGGAGATTTTTTGGAGCCTTGAAATGGCACTAGAGATTTACTGTCTACAGTGATCTTGAACCAAATCTATATTTTTTTTTTCTAGAGCCTTAGCATTAATCCTTGTACCTGCAAATTCCAATTGTTATGTTCCTACTGGGAGAATTGACAAAAAAATTGAAGCCTGAACAGAACAAGACCTCTTGGAAGGGCTCACAAGTAATACTTCAGTTGACCAGTGAAGTAAAACTGGAGCCTGGGTGTGGTTGAAGTCCAGAAGACACTGTAGCTTAACACAAAGACTGTGTCTTTTCCTGGCTAGCTCAGAGAGTCACCTAAAGAGACCCTGTAAGCAGTGTTCTGCAGGCAGCAGTCGTCTTAGCATGTACTAATGTGTAACAAGAGATGCTGTATTTTTGTCCAGGATTACTGTGACTTGGTAGATTGACTAGACTCTGTCTTCAGTAGGTCTTCTTTTTTAGAAGTGTTGGTATACTGTTAATTCACTGCAGAATTGGTATGCACACGTACACCCGTTTTGTCTGGGTTTTCTGGGTGTGCGCTGTTTGGTCAGAGCAGTATTTCAGTGCACTAACTTGGTTGCAAAGTGTCTGGCACTTCTAGGCAAATATACAAAATCTTTGCATCCTGCTTGGTCACAGGTCACATCCTAGAGTTGAAGATGTGTCTGAAGAAGTTTCAGGCATTCGGGGAGTAGCCCTTTGTGAAAATCATTTTGCAGTGGTCATTGTTCCTTCTTGTCATTCATCTCTTCCCACAAGCCTCCGTGAGATGTATTCTGATTCAGTTACCTATCACGTGAACCAAGGATTTCTTAGTGTATTTCTTAAATAAATCCAATGAATGTAGATGTGGTACCCAAGAATGTTAGCTTGATTTCTCGTGTTAAGATTTTGTAGATGATGCTAAAAACAACCTATATATATTACAATTCAAAGTAAATTCTATTTATTTCATTAGTTGTTCCTTGTGTAACTAACTATACAGTGAATATTGCTATAGACTTTCTTACAAACGCTTATTCCTGTTTTACTAAAACGTTACCTCGTTCTGGTACTTAAAACAAAAGGGATTGCATTGCTCAGTAGTAAACCGAGACAGAAAGGTATAGTTTTGTTTTACTATCATATGTCATCATTTGCACATAGGTGAAGCAAGGGATAGTTCGCAGACTTTTTTTCAGTTACTCAAATTGGCATACATGCAAAGTGCAACTAATCTGGATGGAGAGTAACATGACTGGTTAAACACAGTCATCTTTGTAATAAGCTTCTGGATTTTTTAGCTTATTCTTTGGAATTTATTCTCTTTAGTGATGCAGTATAAGAACTGTGACAGATATAATTCAATACAGCTGAAAGGAGGGAGGGGGTTTGTGTAGATAGGCATGTAAACAACAGCAGAAGATTGCAACATGAAACAATGGTGTTGCTTTATTCAGAAAAGTAACTGTTAAAAAGAGTGGAATCTTTATACAGAATGGATAGCCCTCTTGTTATCACTTGACTAAAAAGTGTTTATACAATACTGATCACGAAAATAACTCTGGATCAGTTTTATTGTCAGTAAAATAGTTGGGTTCTAGACACAGTTTTTATCAGCATAGGTTCATTTTTGGCTTTCATATTCAAAAGTCAGAAATATCACTAATCGAAACAGTTAAGATGCTGAAATTTTGAGTGACTTCCAGAGACTCAAAAATACTGCTTTTTGCAACACTGCTTGGTTTGCCACAAATTTGTTTTTTAAGTGGAGGTATTGCAAGATACTTGTAGAGCATCGGCTGCCTCTAGTAGAGTAGAGTCCTCTTGAAATGCAGGTATAAGAGTCTGTTGATATAATTATGCTGGTTGTGAAACTTTTTTAGACTGTGAAGCAACGATTTGTACCCAACTGGATTTACACATTTCCTGAGAATAGTGTTTAATTATGCACTTTTCATGTTGCAGTAACCTAGAGCCTCTTTTGCGTATAATTTCCCGTGTCTTTTCAGGAGGACAAAGAAACAAAAGTATTTCCCTAGTTCTTCAATGCACACAAGTCCTCAAAGAGCAGCTGTTGTCTGTAAATAAATAGGCACCAGTCAGCCAAAGGTCAACTATTGTCTGTTAAAATTTCAAGCTAATTGTACAGCCCAACATAGTACACTGTCTGGGACCCACACTTGCCAGCTTTTCTCCAGAGCTAATTACTTTGTCATACATAAAGCAAACCACCTCCTCTTATAATTACTGTTTGTAGAGTTAATTAGCTTTGCCAGTATAGCTTTGCTAATCAGCTTGCCTTTGTTTAGCAATTAATGGGTCTGTGGAGTGTGGTAGCACATTTGCACTGCCTTCTCAAAAGGCAGTATGAAGAGTTTACACTGTGTGTTTTAACACTCAGATGTTCATTGGGATTACTTAAAATCGACTGGTTGCTTGAAGTGTATGTATCAGATGTTAAGTCTTTTCAGTTGCTTCAACCTGCAGCAACAACTCAAAACCCGAGGAATAGAATTTTAATGTAGCTTCTGTGTCTGCTTCTGTTTCCTTTTTTCTTCTCAAGTGTCAGCTTTAAAAATCGACCTACAAAATAACACTTGGGTCATTCCTAAAGACATGCTAGCTCCTATAGCCATTCTTTGGTTAGGACTATGGGAGTCTTTAGTGGTCTGCCAGGGGGGTCCTGTATCCACTAGCCACTGTTAAATATTTTGGAGAAAACATGAGAAATTTGTAGTCGGCACATGGGGTGGAGAGGGAAATTTAAAATGCTTTCTAACTGTCTGATCAAATATTGAACCAATCATTAATTGAGCACTTAATGTAGAAGGTCTTAGGATCTGTGTAATTTAACTTAAGAAGTTAAACTTAATTTTTCCTACTAAACAGTTTGGTATTTGTCCAGTGATAATTTATTAAGTAGCCTACGAACTCTTGTAAAATAAACATTTTCCATTTTATGAATAACTTACTGTCATCTCTTGTTTCTTATAATGCAAAATGATTTCATAAATTTTCAGGGAAGAGAGGTTGTTATTCCTACATACACAGTATCATCTGCTCCTAGATCGCTCGTAACAGACCTATACTATAGGTACTATAGTGCTATAATATTCTTGGTGCATTGTTCGTCAGACTCAAGTTTCTCCTTTTTCTTTCACTTAAAAAAGTGATTTTTCAGCATAGTTAAGGTATTTTTTAACAGTAATACCTTATAGGGCATGTTAAGATTATTCCAATAGTATGCTTTATTATGTTGTCGCTTCTTGCTTCTTCCCCACATCCCCCTGTCTTCGTGGTTTTTTTAAAGCCTGATGTTCTTGCTCTTTGCTAAAACATTTCTTGTACTTGACTACTGTGTGCACAGTAGCACCTTGCATTTTGCCTTTTTGTATGTTAACCAGTTTGGGGGTTAGAGACAGATTGAATTTATCCATTTAATTTTGTTTGGAATTAATGTATCCATTTTCTCTTATAAAGACAAAAAAAAATCAGGGTGTTTGGTTTTTTTTTCTTTAATGGTTATCTGTATCACATGCTTTCCCTCTTTGGCAAAGCCATGTTTACCCATTTTCAGACTTTTTAACATACGTCACAACTAAAATGAACTCCATGAAAGTCACAAACGCTGCCTGTGTTGAAGCAGGGCTGATTTGTTAACTGTTTTGTGTCAAGAGCTTTTCGAGGCATAGGTTCAGAATTTAATCACGTTAAATGGTGGTTATAGTCTGATGATAATTTTGCTACTAAACTGAGAAATTGCAGTGTCTGTGAAGGTGACGTAGTTCGAAAGTAACTGGTTTGTGGGGTTTTTTTCTTCAGTCTTACGATAACGGCCTGGCACAGGGAGCTGGACTGGAATCTCATGGTAAGAATGTTAAAATGTTCTACGCCTATTTTTAAGGCTGGGATTGAAAATGCTGTAAGAGGTGCAGGGTATGTCATGCCTTTCCTTCTTCTCTGATTTTAAGGAAGTGGGATGAGGAGGAGCAAATCCCACATGCCTCAGAATATCATTTGTCTTCCTCCCTTAGTTCTAGCTTAATATCAGACCAGATGGGCTCTTAATATATTAACTCCATTAATCTTACCTCATGAATGTTTTGTTGAAAGGTGTTGGCAGTAGTTCTTGTCTCTTGCTGACAGAGCAAACTTTTTCCACATGTACCATTGCTACTCTGTGGATTTATCTGCAAGAGATTTTGTGCAGTGCACCTGATAATCTCCAATTTCAGCAGCTATTAGAAAAACTGAGAAATATTTCCTCTGATAGATTACAGCATCCATTGGGGGCTCAAATCTTGAAGCAGCAGTTAATTTTTGTAAACAGGTGGTAGTTGTGAAGATAGGAATTCCCAAGGGCTGATATTTTTAAGCAAAATGCTTTTCAATGCCGTGAAGTAGTGGTCTGCTCGTGACAGAGAACCTGTTGACTTTTATGTGACTGATACTAAATCTAGCAACTGTTTGCTAGTTTTATCCTCAGTATTGAACTTTGATAGTATTCCATCTGTTTTATTCCTGCAGGATGGATAAAGTTGAAAAATTTAAATTAATACCTCTACAAATTTACAAAATTGGCTAACTATGTTACTGGAGAATGCTAGTGATAACAGGCAGCATTACTTCATCATCCTTCTCCTGCTGCATTTCAGCATCAGAATGAAAATAATCTTAGAGTTCCTGGGGTCTTCCAGCATCAGGATAGTGTAAGAACTTCGGGCCCCAAGTCTTGTATCAACAGCTTGCTCAGGGTCTTTTCCTAGGCTGTAATTTTATTGTATCAGGTAATAGAGTTTTGCTGGGCTTTAAAAGTCATGGCCATGACACACAGACAAAGAACATGAGTTTCCCTTCTAATTCCAAATTTTCCTTGCAGTTTCCTTGACAACAAAAAATTCCTTAGAAGTGTAATTTGTGTTTATCACCACCATGAAAATCCAGCAGTCTTTTCATAGTATTAATGATGCCTTTTTTTTTTTTTTTTTTTTTTTTTTCCTCCTTTTCTTGGGGGGAGGGCTTTCTGCTCATCAGACACTTCTGTCTGTTTATATCCTCAGGGGGTTTGTGTCTGAGACTGCCTTTGGCATCTCTGCTTCAGTCTGATTCCTGGCATCCCAATAGCTTTCTTTTTTAAGTTACATAGGAAGAAATGTTTTCTTTTGCATTGCAACTTACTTATTTCTGGGCTGCTGTGTAATGTAAATTGCGCAGCACTGAGTGGCAATCCAGCTTTAAGAAAATGAATTCATGTTTATTTGTGCAATAGCTGGTTTGGGTTTTTTTTTTTCCTTTTGACATACATGGTGATCTAAAGTGTTTTTATTTATTTGGCTTTTAGACTTAAAATTAACACTTTCATACTTCTAAAAACCCATTGATTTAATTGTTACTACGCTAGTTAAAGTTCTGACTGAGATCGTGCATGCTTCAGTGAAAATCTGGGTATCAAAACATTGCAAAACCAACTCTCTCTTCCCAGGTGGCTCTACATTTTGTGGTATTGCATCGCTGTGTTTGATGGGTAAACTGGAGGAAGTTTTTTCGGAAAAAGAACTGAACAGAATAAGAAGGTGGTGTATAATGAGACAACAGAATGGCTACCATGGACGACCCAACAAACCTGTAGACACTTGCTATTCCTTTTGGGTGGGAGCAACATTGAAGGTAGCGTACAGAACAGCTACAGGGTAGTTACTGACCTATTTTGATTTCTTTAAGCATCATATCTTTTCTTTCCTTGGAAGAGTTACATATTTGGCACAAGTTCATGAATATGCACAGATTGCTATAAAGGTCTTTCATCTTGCAAAAATGCAGGATATGGAGGTTTACCAGATTAGTGCTATCTCTGCTATCAATGCTTATCTCATAAACAGGCATTATATTTTAGTATTAAAAATATACTGAGGCTTGATATATTACTGTAATGGTCTAATTTCTTTTCAGCTCTTGAACATATTCCAATATACAAATTTTGAGAAAAACCGAAATTACATCCTGTCAACTCAAGATCGCCTTGTTGGTGGATTTGCCAAGTGGCCAGATAGCCATCCAGGTAAACTTTTCAAAATTATGGTGTGTGTGTGTTCTAAGTCAGAAGCAGATTCCAGCAGTCAGACATCCGAGAGGTGTGAACAAAGTTTTTTTTTTTTCCTTGGTCATCTTCAAAAATGGAAAAAACCCTTGAGACATCATGACAATCATTACATCATTAGTCACTTTAAGAGTTTTCATTAAAAGGTCATGGAAACTCTGTCATCATAGAGACTTTTCTCGTTGCTTGTTTTGAATAAAATGATGTACAATTGCATGTCAACAGTGACCCATATGTAGTTATTGCTGATCTTACTTTGGATTAGCTAGGGGACCTCTTCCAGTCCCTTCCAGCCTGTGTTCTATAACTTCATGATTGTCATGTCACCTACTGAAGGCACGGAAAATTAAGAGTAAAACTAAAGGACAATGAGATTTTCATAATTTAAAGGGAAAGGTGGAGAGTATAGTTTTCCCTTGTTCAGCCACAGAGTGAGCGAGCTATTGTTCTTTAGACTAACACTGAAAGAGCGTCACCATCTATTTAGAGCTGGACAAGCTTTTCCATATGTGTTTAACTGTTCTAGTTAAAGGGAATACTGTGTCAGTGGGTATCTTTGTAAATGGCCTGAGCGAAATATTTCAGAACGTTTGTTCTTTTGGGATCTTTTAAGCTTATTCAGAGTTCATTGATTTATTTAAAACCAGTCAAAGTTTACATAGCTAGATATGATTTATAGATTGTAGCAATTATATGTAGTATATCTCAACTATTATCCTTTTGGATGTCGATAATTTGAAGTAGTGAAAAATTTGAAAAGATGCTAAAACTTCTAATTGGAAATAATTTCAAAATATATTAGAATTCAACAAAGCTATTGCAAACTTGTGAAAACAAATGTTATGCCGGTAGTGTTGCCTAGTCGCATTTTGTACAGGAAGGGTAAACGGTCTGAAAGTAGACCAAATAAGATACAAATTTAGTCATAATTAAAGATTAGTCTGTTCAGAATCTGTGCCCTGATATTTCATCCTTTCATCATTTCATTTTGAACAACAGTTGAGAATTTTTCAAGGTTGAACCACACTGAAAACACAGTGTTTGTGATAGATGTGTGCTCCCCACTCCTGTGGAAACCGGCTTGGGACTCCTGAGAACTTAGCTGTATTTATTCTGCATTAGAGATATCAGTCACTATCACTTGGAGGAAATATTTCTGTTTGTCTTGATGAACCATTTACTTAGTGAGCTAGGAATTAAAAAAATTAAAATTAAAAAAAATTAAAAATAATTAAAAAATAAAAAAAATAAAAAATTAAAATTAAAAAGACCACAGTCATGTGCAAAGTTCTTTAACCTGTCCTTTAGCATGGCTGTGACTGTTTGAGGTAAGATTTGAGAAAGGCAAGACTAATAATAAAGCTGCTTTGCTTTGATTTATGTGGTGTTCCAGCCTGATCACTGCTGTTTCCGATGAAGCAAGCTTTTGCTGTCTCTCTTCTTGTGACAGGTGGGACTATTGCAGCATTCTTTCCTCAGGCAGATGGTGGCAAGTCTGTGTTCACATTTTGAAAGAAAGAGTGAAAAGTTAAGGTAGTTCTAGCGTGAAGAATGGCTATAAAAGCAGGATTGCTAGAATTGTTTCTGTGGAACTGTGATTTCATTGTCATAAATACACAACCGAGCTTCCTACAAGCTCAGCCTAGTATCTAAAAGGCAACTTGTCTTCTGATCGTTGTATGTCTCCCCAGTAAAGGTTTCACACTTTACAAACAAGAAGCATTTGTGCAGCTCAATTGTTCCCAAAAGTCTAATGTTGGTTAAATGTACACGGTCCTCTTGACTCCCATGTTAATGCAAAATGTGAAGGTAATGAGAGTGGCATGGGTCATCTCACAAATGAGTTAATAGTTCCGTTGAGGCTGAATATGGACAGGAATGATTCATTCTCCTTGAAGCATTTAGCATTTGTAAAGCTGATAACAGTGGCCTCAATTTGGGTTTGTTGCAAAACTCAGATGTGACAGAATATTCCAGGGAAAGTTTGCGAAGTAAGAATATGCCATTTTTTTCAAAGGTGCTTTCTAAAATAGAATTTGAACTTCTGTAGCTCCTACTTTATAAAAGCTCTGTTTAAATTTGGATAGTCAGTCTGTCTTTGTTGTGCAATAATGTTTTTAGGAAGAAGACTAGCAGAAATTGCAGAAAACAGTCAACCACTTGTGATAATTATATATTACATGGACTTCCGAAGTCACAAGTAACTTTTCACAACTGATCATTCAGGGAAATATCATTTTGTAGTCCAGATGTTCCCATTCTAACAGGCATCAATATATTGTTTGTTCTGGAGGCCAATAACATTACTGAACACCTTTTCTTGATTTAAAATAGTATTTGGACCAGCGTGCTTATTTAGCAGTGAGCTTCGAAAACTTTCTTACCTTTGAAAATAAATCTAAAACGTCAAAAGACTCCTAAATGCTAGTAATCCTCTGAAAACTTGAGCATAACAAAGTGAATCAGGACACAACTGTCATTTTTGTTTATAGTGATCTAGAGGTTGTCAAATACAGAAAAGGCTTTTGTCTGAAAAATGTTCTGAATATCATTCTAGTAGTAGTAGTAGTACTGTTTTGTAAAGCAGGCATGGACACTGGCTTAGTAGGGAGATTGGTATTTCAAAATAGAACTGAACACCCTCTGTATTTGTTCTGTTCTTTGTTTACTGATAACGTATTTTTTTCCAAGTCTTTCACGTTAAGCAGTTAGATCTGCTACTTGCTGTTAATACTACTTGTTACAAACATTAAACCACATTAACGTGGTTTAATGGAGTTAATTTTCTTCTGGGAGAGTGGACCCCACTGACCACAGGGGTACCCCATACCACATGGCATTGTGCTCAGCAATAAAAGCCAGGGGAAAGAGGAGGAAGTGGGGGGCATTTGGAGTTACAGTGTTTGTCTTCCCGAGTAACCATTACACGTGATGGAGCCCTGCTTTCCTGGAGATGGCTGAGCACCTGCCTGCTGGTGGGAAGGAGTGAATGTATTCCTGGCTTTGCTTTGTTTGCACACACGGCTTTTGCTTTCCCTATAAACTGTCGTTATCTCAACCTACAAGTTTTCTGACTTCTACTCTTCCTTTCCTCTTCCCCCAGTGGGGTGGAGGAGGGAAAGTGAGCCAGCAGCTGTGCAGTGCTTTGCTGCCAGAGGGTTAACCCACAACATTTTGCTAGAACACATACCTGAGCCATTTTGGGGGTTCTTCAGACTTGTGCATAAGTCATGCCTAGATTTAAATAAACTTCTCGTTTAAATTACTAGATGTACTGCAGGTTGCCCCAGGAGGTTGTGCCACAACTCCAATGCATCTCGTGTGTTACCTTCAAATTATATGCAACATAAAATAATTGGAAGCACATGTGAATTACAGGTTATGCAAGAAAAAGATAAAAAGATTGAACATAAAAAGAGTGAGAGGATGAAAATGTGTGTGCACAATTACTACATATAAAACACTAAAGTGAGATTCGCTCTCACAGAAGTATAAATACACCTTACTTCGTTATGTTTTTAAGACAGCAGCCAGGCAGTTGCAAGGTTGCTTACCCTATTCCCTATCTGTGAGCTACTTAGGGAACAAAATGTTTGGACCTGCAGTTTTGACCTTGAAAACCTTAGTGCGTTTCATAGCTTGAAACAGCAGAGTACACAGGCAGTGTATATATGTTTTGGCTAGAACTAACTTGAGTATCAAGCTAGCGTGGATTTGCACAGCTACTGAACTTTTGGAGGTGTCGGTAAATTCATGTCTGACTAAAATTATATTTCAAGAAGGTTTAAACCCACCAAATAGCAATACACAAGTAATTAGGTTTGTATATGGGTTTTAGTGCATATCAATGCAGCTGTCCACAGGGGTTAATATACTGTTTTTCCTGAAGTTGAGGTCTCCTTGCCTGACATACTTTCTGCAGGGTCAGTAGGGGCTGCATCTGCTGAGCATGCTTTTGTCTGCATGTTAATGCTGGTAAGTAGAAGCCTTCATTCAGAGTCTCTCTATATAGATACCTTCTTGAAATATCATTTTAGTCAGATGTGAATTTACCAACACCTCCACAAGATTACTAAGTGTCGAGAGTTTTTAAGGGGCACATTAAGTTCACATCCTCTTGCCATCTTCAGCCTGTGATTTCGTGGGCAGATAATCTAATCTGATGGCTTGCCACTGCCCAGAGGAGGCAGGCTCACTTCTCTTCCTCCCAGCGTGCCCAAGTGCAGCTGCAGGTTCTTTCTCCTTTTTGCACTAGCTTTGGTGTATAGCAAAAGCTTCTGCAAACTAGTTTAATTCACTAAAATGTCAGAAAACTGTCCCTTTTCTCCTGCTTGGGTTAATTTTGGTCCATGTTTTTTTCAACTGCTTTAGGTCATGGAGGGTGTTCAGCAAGCTGTAGTGCTGGTAATAAGGTAGGCAGTAGAAGCAGCGTGGGACAGCGGAATAAGAGCATCCCTTTTTGGTGGCAGTCATCTGTTACGGTTGATCAAGCCACCACAGGAATTCCTATCCTTAGGGCATTCTCTCAGGAAGGGGGGAAGCTAGGCAAAGTAATGACTTCTGTCATACTTCTGAATCTTGCTGTTAGGCAGCTATTAGCAGTAATTTTGGTGTGTCAGTAGTCAGCTGTTCATAAAGTAACTGGCCAAAAAATTCTTTCATGTTTGGGGAAAAAAGATTTCCTTTGTGGACAGAAATTATTTCCAGCTCCTCAAATGCTTTTGCTGTTTGGCCTGAGCACTCAGAAGAAATAAAGTAGTGGGCAAGAATTGTTATAAAACAAAACAAGACTAGAGATTCTAGTTCTAGAGATTGCAGGCTGTCAGTTCACGCTGGTGCATTTGGGCAGAAATCGACTTCTTCTGTCAAAACTAAGTTTCAAATGTAGCACCCATTTGTTTTCTTCAGCTGTAATTACTCCCAGGTGTTGGAATCCAGGAACACTTGGCTGTTACAGCCTGACATAATCTTCTTTTTGCTTTTCTGTCCTTTCAGATGCTTTACATGCCTACTTTGGGATCTGTGGCTTGTCGTTAATTGGAGAATCTGGTATTTGCAAAGTTCATCCTGCCCTGAATGTAAGCACAAGAACCTCAGAGCGCCTTCACCACCTTCATCAGATCTGGAAAACAAGGACTCTAAACAGTGTTCAGATGACACACACCTCTCTACATGACTGATTTAGACTTGAATTTAGTTCTGGTAGCATAATTGTAGCCCAAGGTTAAAAGCCATGTATAACCAATGTGCTCTTTTAAGTGCTGGAGTCATACAATCAGATCTGTGTTGCTGGCATCACTTTGATAGGGAGTTGCCTTCAGCAGGTTATTCTGCATTGTGAAAAAATATTTTGATTATATAGGAGTTTGTCACCGCAGACTGTAAATGGCTCTTCAAATGGCTTTACTTCTAAGAAATCCCTTGAGGCGTTTAAACTTCATTTTTATTTTATTTTTTTAAATTTGTGCATACTGTGTCAAAAGATATAATGGGGATGTATTTTCAAAATCTGTTTACATATCATACAGTATAGCACAGAACCTTGGAGTTCTTTATGATCTTAATGTTTGACATATTTTTGGGTAGAGAATCTCCCATATTAAGTCTTAGTTAAAAGTTACCTTTTATCGTGTACTTTCAGATTCCATAAGCTTTGTTTAAAAAAAAATCAAGTAAATACAAATAAAATTATTTTATTCAATATACTGGACTTACAAAGTTGTGTGGCCTTACTAAATGGATTTCATAATTCTTCTGAGTAGCTTCCACACAGATGCAGTGGACCATTAGCCAGACAAAGAGTTTTCAACTGAAATATTCTCTTCATGTGAAATTCAGTGAGAGTGTGACATACTGCTGTCAGTAAGAGACACTCAACACAGTCTTCTGGAGGAGTAGCTGTGTGTGAGAGTAGCATTAGAACCTGTTTCCAAAGACGAGCCTTTGCAGTACATTAAAATTGTACAACTGCACTGATTATTTTTTATATGTATTTTGCTTTTAGTGTGAAATAATTCTGAGTTTCTTAACTATTCTGTGTAAAGAATCAAATACTGGCCTTTAAAGTAAGTGGCAGTGGTTTACTGCTAGGGAGATAATGAACATTTGCAGCTTACTTAGTAGTAGTGCCTTACTTCCTATGCTTGAAATGCTGCTCAGAATCAAAGCAAATAACTTTGCAGCTGTTGTGTTTGTGGCAGGTCAGTTTGTGTGTTTCAGGCATACAGTAGACACCAGGATGTCTACCTGCCTGTCGTTAAGGCACGTTCTTTTTTCTAAAGGACTTCCAAACACAGATAACAGGTCTCTTAAGCCAGATTAAGCACATCATTTGCCACCACCAAGCCCAATAAGACAGGATATAGACCCTTTCAGTCAGCAAAAAGAGCTTCAAGAGTAACCATGATTCTGATTTTGCAATGCAGTGCAAGTGAAAAGGGTAGAGTAGTTGTACCCCTATCACAGGTGTCAGAGAGGTCCAATGGGCATCTTCAGGCTACCAGAACAGTCCCAATGTCCAAACCTGTAGCAGCCTTCCTACTTAAAAGAAATTGTTTCTATTTCTATAAGCAGATTCATTGCCATGGTGGCACTGGGGACATCACCGGTGGTGGTGGTCTGCTTGGAAAAGCAGAGCATGGGGCAGGGCTTGGAAGTAAGACACGTGATGTAGGCGTGTCCCTATGCTTTCCTTGTAGGAAGAGAAGTTACATAGCTGGAAGAACTGTAGGAAGTCTGGAGTGGTGGAAGCAAGAGGGACTGTAGGGTTAGCACTGGGGAGGGGGAACGAGGTGCTTGAGTAGGACTGGTGCAGAGTAAGTGAATATTGAAACTGGGAGATACGGAGGGTGGAAGCAAGAGAAAAATGGGGAAGGGAATGAGGAGTGAGAGTGGAATGGTGGAAAGGATTTGAGCTGCCGAGGATAAGTGCATAGATCAGTGTATTGGGTTTGCATGGCAAGGTTTGGTTGAAGAGGGGAGTGATAGAGCGGTTTTGGTGGGCACCTGGCATCCGGCCAGGGTCGACCTATCACAATCAGGGGGCAAAAGCAAGAGGGAGTTACTGACTCAAGCAACGTGAGGGAGTGAAGTGAGGAAGAGCTTGGGAACTGGTTTATTCCACATAACCTGAGATGACCTGAAATTCAGCTGCAAATAAGTAGTAGAGAGTCGTAAAACAGAAGATCTACCAGGCTGGGGCCACACTTACTGCAGTTCCTGGGGGAGTCCATTTTCCTGGAGGACGTTGGTCAGCAAAGGCTGAAGTAGCTTCCCTGAACAGAAGACTCTCAGGTCCTGGGGGTATACCTTGCTAAGAATCCATTAAAAACAAACAAACAAAAAAAACCCCTTTAGGTAAAAGTCATTCAAAATAGCACAGTATTTGCTTGTCCTTGACATCAGACGATGGCCCCAAGATGACCCATGGTAGAGTTGGGTGAGTTTTTGGAACATGGCAAAGTTGCAATGAGGATGAGATGTAATTCTACCTACCCATACCTACCTGTGCCTCTCTGCCTTGCTGGAGAACTGTCTTACCAGTTTTTTAGCATTTAGTACATCCCCTGTTAGAGGAAGAATTGAATTTCAGAAGAGTTGAATAAAGTGCTCTGAGTCTGCTGGGAAAGAGCCCAAATATTGATACTTTCTCTCTTGGCTTCATGAGGAATGATGTATTTTATTATCTTGGGGCAAATCCGTACTTGCAAAATCCTAAACTATAGCTCCTGAGTTTCCCTATCTGTGACCAGGTTCCCTTCTGTGAGGGATCAAGGTGGAGAAGCATAAGTAAGGGGACAACAGTGAAAAATCTTATTATGTGAATAACCAGTTAAATTTCTTGTGGCAAGTAATTTAACAGTGTTCTGCTTCTGTATCATAGAATCATAGAATGTTTTGGGTTGGAAGGGACCCCTAGAGGTCATCTAGTCCAACCCCCCTGCAGGAGCAGGGACACCGTTAATTAGATCAGGTTGCTCAGAGCCCCGTCCAACCTGGTCTTGAATGTTTCCAGGGATGGGGCCTCCACCACCTCTCTGGGCAACCTGTTCCAGTGTTTCACCACCCTCATTGTAAAGAACTTCTTCCTTATATCTAGTCTAAACCTACCCTGGTTTAGTTTAAAACCATTACCCCTTGTCTTGTCAC